GGTGGAGATTTACAAGCAGACTAGCAGACTATATTAAATCTACACACACACACACACACACACACACACACACACACACACACACACACACCTGAACCTATATACCATCCTTTATAGATTCTGAAGGACAAGACATTAAATCTACACACACACACACACACACACACACACACACACACACACCTGAACCTATATGGTTACTTATCCTCACTCTTGTATTTTAACATAGGGTATATATTTCACACACATACACATAGAAAGCATTTGCATTGATTTATTGGGCATGGAGTTTTTAACATACAAAAGATATTTTTTTGTTTCTTTTTCTTTTTGATCTCTTTTTCCCTCTCTATTTCAAGTACCAAGTTGTGCTTATTATTGCTTCCAGAAAGGGTATGTACTTTGGGGTGGGTGTGGGACCACAGATAAAGAGAAATAAAGCCAGACTCTTGGGGGGAAAGAAGGGAGGGCGTCTGGGAATCTCAAGAACATCTTTATTTCGCCTTTTAACTCCCCGCCTTTCTGATTAAAAGGTTCAGACCTGCTCCCCCGCCCGCATTCAATTATCCCCAGCATCTTTTCTCCGAAGCTGTCACCTCCACTTGCTGAACGGCAGCCCCACCCCGAGCCATTAGTCCGGTTCTTTCCGTTTTGCTTTTCTTTCCTCAATTTCTCCCTCAATCTTTATAAATCTCCCTTGGAGGAGGAGTGTCCGAGCGGGTGGAAGTCTGAACACAATGCAACCTGAGAATTTCTGTCACTCTCTGCATATGCTCCTAAGTGCTTTAATCCCAATTAGGGGCGGCTGACACACGGTCCTATTCATTCCCATCAGCTCTTGAATACATTTGCCTAGAAATGAACTTCACAAATAGAGGCGCTCCTAAATGTGTCCAACAGCAAGGAAAATCGAATTGAGCGCGGGCTCATTCGGGGGAGGCCGGTGGAGAAGCGCTGAATGTGGAGGTGCCCCAAGACATTGCAATTCAGCAACACGCTCTCTGACTTTTCTTTGCACCACGTCAACCGAAAGAGCCAAGAAATAAGTTGGGGAATTGCGGTTAAAAGGCAACTCGAGAGGGACTCTGAATACTTTTATTGAGCCGCTTCCAAAGGAGGACTTAAAAAACAACAACAACAAAAAGCACCACAAAACCCACCAGCGGTGTCCGGCCTGTGTCCTTGGCTGCGAGTTTGGAGCCTCCCGGCCGCCGCGCATCCACCGGCCACGTAATTAAGAGGAAAATGGCCTGGTCTCTGGCGTGTCATCTGGTGGCGTTCCCAGAGCCCGCCGCCGCCGCCCTATTCAGACCCTGCCTTAATGTCCCACCCGCGCCTCGGGGGCCGCGCAGCTGGTCTGCGCTGACCT